TCGCTCCGAAAATACGCTCGCCCCCCCAGCTCCCACTTTATACTGAGGTCAAAGGAGGGGAGGAAAAAAAAAAAAAAAAGAAGAAGAAAACCAACAAAAAACAAAACAAAACAAACAAACAAAAAAAAACCCACCCAAAAAAGCGAGGCGGGGGGTGGGGGAGGAGGGAGGGAGCCCCGCGCTCAGTCCCCCGAGGATCTGCGGTTTCCCTGGGCTGGCTGCATGGAGAGGAAATCCCGGGAGCAAGAGCTTCTGAACTTGATCTCAACTCCAGGAGTCTTGTCTGAAGTGCTGATCTTCTTCTATAGCTGCTCAGCCATAGCGCTTTAGTCCTAGCCACGATATTTATATATCCATGTGCGTTGGTACCTATTACATCACCACCTACTGCTGTCTGCTGCAGCCCTCCGGTTTAGCTGAAAGTCAAATTATCACCCCTAGATGCTTAACAACTCCGAAGCGTCTTGAAGGGAAAGGGTGAGCAGCACTGGTGCTAAACAAGAGGGACAGCACAAACTTTTAAAAAGAAAAGGTCATATTTTGCGTTCATCACAGCAGCTTCCTCTTCTCTCTCTTCTTTCTTTCTTTTCCTTCTTTTCTCTTTCTTCTTTCTCTCTCTCCTTTTCTTTCTTATTTCTTTCTCTCCTTTTTCTTTTCTTTCTTTCTTTCCTTCTTTCCTTCTTTCTTTCTCCTTCTTTCTTTTTTCTCTTTCTGTCGCTTTTCTTTCTCTTTTTCACTTTTCTTTCTCTTTTTCACTTTTCTTTCTCTTTTTCTCTTCCCTAAGTGCTTACGAATGCTAATGCAGGACACAAAAATCAAAGAATGCTCAGCACACTTTCCACCCAACACAATGTATGACTTTGTGGAAATCTGTGGAATTTCGGCTTTTGCTGTATCCAAGCGACATGGTTTACAGTTTGCTGGATGCAGAAAAATTCCCTTCATTAAAAGCCAAAATAGTTGTTGCATGGGAGGTTTAAGAAATGAAAAATGAAAGAACTTGCAAAAAAAAAAAAATTAACAAAGGGCCAAGGCTTTAATAAATGCAAAAACATTTAAAGAGGCAGCATGTTCTCAAAAGCGGTAATAATGCTTTTGATTCTAAATATCCCTTTAAGAAATGAGAAAGCACAGCATTGTTCTGGAGTACAAGATGTGTGGAGCTCCCTCTTGGTCACTGTACTGATAGGGGCTGTAGTGACACGAGTTTATTCCTGAGCTTTAGGGGCTGCCCATTCATGCAAGTGTTGCTGTGCTTTTTAATAATATGATTATTTTCTAACCTTTGCTATGCGTGCACTCACTTAGATGTTGCTGTGGTGTCTTAATGACGCAGTTGTTCTTAGGCAATTACTTCATTTGGTTTAAGTTCATGAAAACGAAGCTCAGTATTTAAAAGCAGGAGAAGTTTTGACCCCATCAGTCTGGAATTACTTTGTTTAGAGCAAATCCCATATGTTTTGTCACCTCCCTTAGCTTAAGCCTCGGCCCTCAACAGGTTTTCAGAACCAACAGGTGAGGAGGCATTAAGGACAATTTTGGAAGGTCCTGAATTAATACAAAAGTGTGCGTGTGGTGGGGGGGAAGTGGTTTGTGACTCAAGTCCTTTATAGCCTGAGGATAATTTAGTCTTTCACGCCAGTAAAGCTCTCCTGCTGTTCCAGCGAGGGATTCGAGAGAAAAGAGAATTGCCCCAAGCCAGATGACAGCTCACCTAGGTGCGAAAATCTCTGACCTTCGCTAAACCTAAGCAAACTTAGATGATGTGCTTTTATTTCTTCTTGTGAGGTGCATATACACAGTGTTTGTGCGTGTGTTTCTCCTACGGCCCCTCTCAGGACGGAGAAGAGACTGCTGCTGCTTTGTGGGTTGATTGCAGGCTGGTGCTCTGAAGGTAAAAGACTCCTGGGTGTGGTTTTGTCAAACAAATTCATTTCTCTGTGTGTGTTTAAAGGCGGCAGAATTTAGATTTTCCTCTGCGGAGGTTTGTGGGCTGGTAAATCCGTTGAGGTCAAATGCATGGACTTTTACTACATTTCTGCTCGCATCAGGTCCATCCAGACCCCTCTTACACCCGGCAAGCCTGATGGATCAGTTCTGGAGGAAAGAGCTGTGCGTCAGGCAAAGGCCAGCTGCTCACGGGTTTGGAAACTGCCCTGCTCTGCAGGGGCTGTGCCGGACACCTTGTCCTTCTCCAATGGCCTTAGAACAGTGTGATCCCACCTCGCTTCCAAATCAGAATTATTTGCTGTTAGCAAACAGCAGCGGATGAATTTGGGATTAAGTTTATTTACCCTCTGAAGGATAAGGCCGAGGAGTGGTGCTTCTGCCAACACACCCACCTGGCAGCTCCCCTCCTGCAGCAGAAGTATAGTCCCACACCCACAGCTAGTGGGTCAGGGCCAGGGCTGCTTGGTCTTACTGACAGCGACTCTCCCTGACCCAAAAAAGCATGAACTCTGAGGCCTTAGCCCTGTGAATGTGAAAGCACATTAGAACTTGAAAGTAGGGATGTGCCCTGGAGGCCCAGCGGGCTGTGGTACCTTCATCCCTTTGGGATGTATCGAAATGGGTCCGAAAATGCCCTGACAGGCTCTGAGTCCATATGTTTGCAAGATTAGGTCCTAAATGATTACACAGAGCATCCAGAACGTCAAATGATGTTGTCACAATATCACTGATTAATAAGGGACACTTCTACAAGTTCATTCTTAAACTTGTTTCAGAATTAAATGGTACTCTTTCCATAAAGGCTTCAAATGAACCTTTCTGGGAGGAAAAGCAACAAGTTTTCAGCTAAGAACGAAAATAAGAGGTTCGGGTTTGCTTTCAAATTGTATATATTCACATGTGTGTGAGCTTGTGCGCAGTCTATGTATGAAACACCGATGCTTCAAAGCTCTCTGGTCGCCGAGTTGTTAGTACCTGTGAAAAAAACATAGGGGTGAAAGCAAAGCAGAACTGCAGCATTTCCAGTTTGCACCAGGTGGAAACCGCTGACGTCTGGGGTCTTTATGCTGCAACACAGACGTTGTCAGTTGGAAACTATTGTCCCAGGAAACCGTTAAAGCAGCATATTCCCCACGGAAGCCAATGAAACTGTGTCATCTCCAGGGCAGAGCCAGGAACTGAGCCTCCAACATGCCATCAGCTTTTGTGCAGTGCAGGGGAGTTGGGTGTCTCCAGATCATCCCGTAATTGCATATTCTGAATCTTCCATATCATGCCATGCTCCACTGCTGTGTGCCCCCTACGCCTTGTGTCACACACTCTTCCACAGCAATAATTTAAATATTAAAACAGGTAAAATGTCTTCATCTTTGTATTGACTCTGTTCCCTAAGAAGCATATGGGGATGTCACAGTTCAGACAGCTCTGCTTTCCAAATTCCTCTAGGCTTAAAGTATAAAAAAGAAGAAAGGATTCACAGAATTCAGGTCCACACCCAGGTTCAAGCTCCATACCATGTATTCTGAAGGAAAGGGGGAAAAGATGAAGGAATCTGGAATATCTTTACAACCTTTATGGAAATTTTTCTGCAATTGCACTGGCACAGCGGTCATCTAAACTTGGCTCTGTGTCGATATCTCTAAAGGGGTCTAGGTCCACAATTTAAAAATCAGTTTACATATTTATTAACCCCAGTAAATAGATGTAAATGACCCTGAAAGATATTGCTCATGAGCTTTTCTGTTGAAGGCAAATATTGTACTGAGATCCTTTGATCTGGAAGGATGGGGAGTGGACTGGAAGGGGCATGGAGAAGTATATTGTTAGGAAAAAATCCCTTTCACCATGTTTGCATGCTATGAAGACATGGTAAAAAAGCAAGCCCGTACCGCAGCTCCCCCTTTGCGCACGCCCCTTTTAATTATAATTATTTTGGAAGACAACTACACGGCGATCTGCAGAAGGGACTCGGCTGAGAAAGCTTTCTCACGTTCACGTCTGGCTGCCTCTCTGTGTGAGCAGGGGCAGTGGTCCCGGGAGAGGAGGCCGGCTGGAATGCGGCACGGTGCTGGGGGCCCAAGCCCCGAATGGCCGGGGTCGCTGGGAGACCTTCGCCGTCCAGGCCTCTGCTTGCTGCCTGCATAACACGCATACCCACACACAAGCTAGCGAGTCATACGCATGCTTTCTTTTTTTTTTTCTTTTTTTTCTGTTTGCAGCTGGTCTATTTGATCTCTGTGTGCCTGGGCTGTTTGCTGTTGTGAGCGTCTTGCCATGATCAAAACCTTATTATCTCGAGCGATGTTGTAGTGTTATATATTGGAAAAGGGCAGTGGAGTGTAGCAGCAGGCAGCTACAATACCGGACAGAAAACAAAGGCGCCAATAACCTCTCTCCAATGTATTTGGATTGATTCAGTGAGAGAACTGAACATCACTGCTTGTGATGGGTATGGACTTTTTCAACAGCTACTCCCTCTGCTGCTGTTGAGCTTGCGCAGTCGTACATCTCTGTGTATCTCTGTATAAAGCAGAAATCAGAGAGGACACCACTGAGTCCATCTGTGTGGCTGCTGTAGGCCTTCAGTGCCTTAGATACTGCAATTCACACTTCGAGCTTGTGACCGTGCTGCTTATATACACCCGCTGCTGCAGAGATGGGCGCCAAGGAGCTCCCACTGGAAGATGAAGCCACAGACATTTGACTTTCTGTGAACTACATTTAGAGTCTTAGCAGCCTTTTTCTCAGCTGCTGTGCTTGATTTATTTGCTTTATTGCTTTTTGAGCTGTAAGGTTGCTGTTCCTACAACATCAGCTCAAAGGTGAGGTGGCGGTGTGGTGATAAAGACACTCTGGGAGACCCGAGGTTGCTCTTGAAGCGAAGCAACCTGACGTACTCATGACAAGCCATTTCCTTGTCCTGCTGGTCCTTGTCACTCACTGACGTATGAACAGCTCTTAGGTGAAGAAACACGTCTGGACAAGCTATTGTACCCTCTGCTTCTCACCCTGTTTCTGCAGGCTGCGGCTTTGCTCCATGCTTTTTTTTCACTATACGTTCCCCATAGCAAAAATTCCCAACCCTACTGTCACTACTGCTCTGTATTTCCAGCAGTTTTCTTAGCTCCATTAGCTTTTGCTCTGTTAACAGCTCTTTTTGCTGCACATGCTTCCTGTTGTCCACTACCGTCTCCCTTTTTCTGTAGCTGTTCTACTCTCTTCTCCATCCTCAGGACAAGATGTCAGGCTAACAGAAACAAATGTCCTTCATGGAAGTTACATTCATGGTAAAAGATGACTAAACACCACTGAGACCTTAACTGCAGGGCTGAAGGATGTGTCCTTCTGCAGTCACCTTTATGGTGCTGTTGCTTACTTGAACATGTGAACTATGGCTGGCACGAAAATGAGCTTTAGGGAGCAATGTCATGAGAACCAGCTAAGGAGGAACTCTTAGCAGCCTTAAGTGGGATTTCTCTCTGTTGTTGTGATTAGTATCAGTTCCTGAAGCCTGAGATGCTTTTCTGTTGGGTGGTGGGATGAGCGGAGAACATGGAGGATCTGAGGACTCCTCAGCAGTATCACTGGATTTTGTATTATTGAAGAGCAGGACTCAGTGGGATGGGACAATGGACACATCCTGGGAAGTCATCAGTCAAGCCAGATAATTTGTGAGGGCAATCATGTCCCAGGGTCTTGTCACAGCCTCACAGCCCTTATCTTCATGAAGTTTGAACCAAAGTTTGGAGAGGAAGTCTGCTAAGAACCTAGATGGAGAAACATGTTCAGAGGGCTGCAGTTATTAATGTAGGTCTTTTTTAGAAAACTTAGTTCCCAGTCAGGCTCATTCATATACTAAAACTCACACGCTTATACTTTCAGTTGCACTGCTGAGATTTCTGCATATGCTATTTTGTTCTTCCTTGTCCTGTATTCTTTTTACTCATTGAAATTATAAACACTTTTAAACTAAAAATATACATTTTTTCCTTTTGTCAGATTATGGCACACATACTTTTGCTGATACATTACTTGACACTCTGCCAAACAAAACTGGTAAAAGGACACATAACAGAAAATGAGTTTTGAGAATCAGGGTAAGTGTTTGTTAAGCTTATTTTTATTATTATTATTGTGGGAAATAGTAGCTTAAGTTAACTTTTTGTGTGAGAATGTTTTAGCTGACTTTGAATGTAACATAATTGGTTTACACTAGTCTATTCAACATGTGGCCTCTCTTGTATGAATCATTTTTTACCGGTGGCTAATGTGAAGAAAACTGGCTGTTGTAAGCAAATGACGTGTATTGCTGAATTTTAAAACTTCCCAGCAAAGCACCACTTTAAATCTGTCAGAACATATATGGACATAGCGGTACAATGCATAACCTCTCCGAGCATGTAGGAGACTAGCTTTTCCAGTTGACCTTTAGTGTCACAACAGTGAAACAAACGGATGTCTCTTTTCCTTATTTACTCCTGGACTTTTCGTGGTGCTCATCACTGCAATGTCTGAGTCCTCTGAGGAGGCAGTGGCCGTATCCTCAGAATACCTCCATAAGCTGGGTGTTGCTCTTCTCTTTCCCAGCCCATTGCTCACTGTGGCAGTGAGGGGCAGCTACGCTGCCGTCAGGTGAAAGGACTTCACATACGTCTGGGGTGGCAGAGGAGGAATCAAGACCAGGTTATGGAAGATCTGCACGATCTGTTGGGGTTGATGAACTACTGTGGTAGAAGTTCTCAAAGCCTGATCTAGGCAAGTCGCTTTCCCAACCTGGCACAGCGTGCAGAGAACCTACAATGCTGACTTCAACCCCAAGGACAGGACAGCTACACAGGTCCAGCAGGATCACGGCACTCACCTGCACCAAGAGACACAGCTGGGCTCCTTTGATTTTGGACAAGCTCTGTACCTTATGGGTTGCGTGGGGTGGGGACCAGAACACAGACATGCTGAAACCTCTCCAAATACTCCTCTTTCATAATAACCACCAGTGGTATTGGCAATGGCTAAAACTTTATCTTGCACTCTGGCACACAGAAGACCCTGAAAACAGTTATAAAAACACAGTTTAAGAGAGAGTTCACTCAGAAAAGTATCAAGTTCAGCACTACATTACTCCTGATGAAGTCAGCCTGAAGACAGAGAACAGCCAGAATCAACTGTACGGTTTGCTGGGTGAGTTTTTGAACCGTAAACTGCGAAGATAACAGATAACAGCTGTTACATAGATAACAGCTCTAGAGCTTGAAGACCAGCCGGCATGGAGGTTACCCATCAAATTCTGTGTTGCTTGAAGGTAGTGACAGCAGTAATAATTATGTAAAACTTAACTTCTTCCCCTTCAAGGTGTTTTGGAAACAAAAGGTAGGAAGCCAGATATATAGCTAAGAAACATATTGCACAAGTGTGTAGAACAGGTTATCTGTCAACAGATGCATCAGTCATCTGTCATCAGACATGTCTAGAGGATTTGTCTTAGATTTTGGCACATTCATTATTCACTCTCTCAGGCGTCATAGCTTACAATGGGAACCAGTTCTCACTCCAAGTTTGGATCACACAAGATATAAGTAAAGAAGTTTTGGATGAATGATCCTTGCCCAGAAAAATCCCCTTGACACCAAGAAACCTGAAGAGATGACATACTGCGCTGCATGATTTTTGACTCAATCACTTAATTCCTGTTGTCATTCAAGGCCCAGAGCAACTTCATTCTAGTCAACCATTTTAATATTACCTCTGTTTCTCCTCCATCTTTCCCACTTCACTAATAAAGCTACAAGAGTTGCAGTAACATCAACATTACAGGAACTAATACACGCAGGTTAAAAAATAAACAAGCAAAAGAAAAAGAGAAAGACTACTTATCTCTTTTTGGACAATTTCTGGTGTAATAGTCCTGTTCTGAGAGTAGATTTCTCACAGGGTCTACTTTTGTTCCTGCAGATGAAAGGAGGAACAGGATTGGACTCCAAGTCAGTTTGTTCAATGAAACCACACAGTCTCCTTAGCTCTCAGCAATGAACATTCAGTTTATGATTTTTTCTTCCATTTCAAAATATGTTTATATTTGGACTAAGAGAATGTGGAGAATCCATACTGTTAATGTGCTCTGCAGGAAAAGATCCCCAGGAAATTAGCTTGGAAACTTACTTTGCTTAGGACTGCTTTTTGGTTTTAAGATGTGGAATGAGTTCAATGCAAACTTGAAACGACCATTTTAAAGATTGCCTGGAGAAAAAAACAGTCTTAAACCAGGCAGAAAACAACAGAATGAAAACTTTGGTAATCTTAATAGTTTCCTAGGACTAACCCATCATTCCCTCCATCGGATGGAATTGGAATGGATTGGAAGCCGCTTGGAACTCAGCCAGGTCTCCTTCCTGAATAGGTGTGTCCTGCAAATGTTGAGTGTAATACTGTGGTCATCTAAAACCCGTTAGCTGTCACATGCAAGCAGAACATGTCCCACAACCCCAACATTTTCTCTTTCTACTACCCAGCTGGAATAACAGGTAAATTATTGCATGAAAGACACTGAGCTAAACTCTATTCTCACTCATTTCCATGTAACCTCCTGAGATAATGGGAAAAAATGAAAGCAGCTGAGCCTACAGAAAGCCTGATCCCTACTAGAGATACTGTTTTTATGTTCAGAGTACACCCATTCAGAATGATTATTTCGATATGAATCTCCATGTACATTATTACTTATGTTAATGGGAATGAAGGATGTACACATGAGCTGTTGGAATTGGGACACCGGGATGGGAATGATACATAACGAAGAGAAAACTCCCTGCTCAGGGAATTCAGACAGTGCTGTGCAGTCACTGCTATGCTATTTGCCACGTGCTATATACAGTCACAAAATATTCCACTCAGTCAGAGACATGGCCAGAAAAAGCCCTGAGAACCCCAAAGTCTTACAGTCTTATAATAACCACTGAAGCACGCCCTCCGCCACAAAAGGAGCACAGCAGTGCTCCTGTTGACCCGCACGGGACAAGCTGCATGCAATTTATTCCAGTGTGTAAAGAACCAGGCAAAATCAGAGGGATTAGTTTCAGTACACCCATGGCCTTTTACCATTGCTCTGGAGCTGCGAAGCAAACATTTTTGGTGACTTTAATGAAATTTCATAATGCCAGAACGAGGTATTATAAAATTATCTGGAGTCTTTTAGAATATGCATTTATTTCAGGGGATAAAAAAAATCTAGATTTAGGTACCAGTACACGGGTAAAAAAGGATCCTGTCATTAAAAAAAACTCCACACTTTCAAAATTAATCTCTGTTCTTCTACCCCCTTTTTCCACTTTTTAATTTGCAAAGTTATATTCCTGAGAGTTGGTGGACCAGCATACTAGGAGGCTACTTGTCACTTGAAGTTCAGATGCAGGAATTCAGAAAAATAAAAGGCATTGGAGTCTTTATGAGTCCTTCTTGGATTGGAAGACAAAGGAACATAACGATGATACAATAGTCCTTACTGTAAGATGCCATTCCTATTGTCCAACACTGTGCATATCATCATTCCCATTATTATTTTTCTGACCAAAAAAAACAAAATCAGTCTAAGGCTTCAGTTACAATCAAACCACGAACAGGACAAAACAGCAAATACAATAAGCTGCTGACTGATTTGTGTTCCAAAATGCCCAGGCAGCTGCTAGTTTTCAATAGTGCTTCTACATGCTGTAATTACAAATTACTGCAGTCAGGTTGTTTTCATTTGGCCTTTATTGGCCAACACCAGCATAGCAACCTGGATGAACGGGACCTATCTATTTGTCTATTGGTTTTAAGAAAAGGATGGGGCAGGTCAGGTCTTGTCCCACCCAAGAAGGGCAGTTGCAGAAGGAGGGAAGCTGAAGCTGGTCAAGACATTACATCAGGATTAGAGCACCGTGTCAAACCAGAGCCACCTTTGGAGAGATCAGACCAGTCCTGAAGATCCTGTCAACAGAGGGATTCCAGGGAAGGCAGGCTTTTGTTGGTGCTGACTCTGCCCTGCACTAAGAGGGTAGATGGAAAGCCTGACTCAGCAGCCTTTTTTGTGGAGTGCTGGACTGTGAGCCCGATAAAAATCCCACTGGCTGTCAACTGGAAGGTGTTGGGGGGAGCGAGAGCCAGGGAGACCTAAAAGCTACCCTATTTGTTTGCCTGGAAGTCCCCACTGAACAGGATTTAATGCTTTCTGTAGGCTCAGCTGCTTTTGTTTTTTCCCATTATCTCAGGAAGTTACATGGAAATGAGTGAGAACAGAGTTTAAATCAGCATCTTTCATGCAATACTTTACCCATTATTCCAAAATGATTTAGTAAGAATGTTCTTTGTGGTGGTAGTGGCAGTCTTCACTACCAGTATTTGAGGAGGCAAGCAGTGTCACCCATAACAAACGCGTTACACCTGCAGTCAGATCGCTTCTCCTTTCCCTCTAGAACTCCCGGGCTCTTTCTGCCTGAGGAAGGGGTTTTCCTTGGGCCACTGCTGGGGAGCTAGGAGGACGAAGGAGATGAGGGAGAAGAATCGTGCTGGCAAGGGATGTTCCACCTTAGATCTTTGCAAAGCTTAGAAAGTTTCTCTCCCTTCCTCCCTCTGTCACCACAGTAGTTTATCTAAATTGCGGCAGGAAAATTACAGCGTCTAAATAAAAAAGCTACCCCAAAACTCCCTTCTGCAGCAGCTTAAGGGCAATCATAATTCAGAATCATGGGACCAAACCTCATACACTCTTGCTGTTTATTATTTAACAGCAACAAATTGCCATTATTTTTTACTGAGCCTGAGGGATGGTTTGCAACCTATTCCCATGCTTCCTGATGCTTTCAACTAAAAATGAACACAGGCCACAGAATTAGCTCCCAAATATATTGGTTCATGATTTGATGGTGCTGGCGAAGTGGCTTCAGGAACTCTTCCCTTTTGGGGCTGCAACAGTTTGTGCCCTACACCCTGCTGTGGTACTACTCCTGCTCCTTCAGGGGGTTCAGCACTTCCATGGCCATCACCATACCCATTTATGACAAAGTTGCATATTACTATAAACTATATAAGCTTCTGTGATGATTGGGGTTAAGGGAAAGACATTTCCATTAGCTGCAGAGGGGACCATACAGAACACCTTTGCTCATGGACTAATCCTATGTTGCTGGAGGAGCTGCAATACCTCAGCAGAAAGCTCATAAGAAATCAGCCAGACATGTTTAAACAGCAATTTGGAATTACCAAATACTAGCCAAATATATCTCGCTGTTGTTATAGTATAAATATAATCATTGCTATTATTAGTCGTAGCAATAGTTACTATTACTGGTTATTATTAGGCATAATTTTTACTGTGGTACCACTTAGGAATTCCCTTAGTCGACCAGAGTGCCATTGCAATACGCACTGTAACGCTGTTACCATGACAATTTTTCTCTGTTTGCCAGTGTGTTCTGGCTAGAGAGCCAGCTGTTGACTAGCTGTGCTCCAAGTTGCCGAGCAATAAATCCCAAACCAAATTCACGACCAGATTTCTGCTCCAAGTCTCAATCTTGTGACTTGCCCCGTAGGCTGCTTTGTGACTCCACCTGACTTCATCAAGTCACCCTGCAAAAATACCACCCTGTCACCGAAAAAGGAGGCTCCTAAGTCAAATTTTTGAAAATATATGTTGCATACTCATTCGTACAGGTAAATATAGGAGAAGCTGCTGGTTAGGTTGACAATGCAGAAAGTATTTGTGAAAGGCTCTGGGGAAAAAAGGGAAGATGAGAACGATTTCTTTGCAATACAAGAGAAAAAGCTTTTAGAAGCACAGCGTATTAAAAAAAAAAAAAGGCATTTAACTAAGCAGGACAAGACAAACTTGGTGAAATATCAACGGTTTCTTAAAGATGAGATCTCCCTGGCAGATCATCAGTCTTGAGCGGTCCACAAACTATTGGCCTAACTTTTGGCTTAATGTTGAACGTACTAATGTCATTAATTCTTCCAAGATGATATAGTTATTTGACTTATTTTTTCATCCTTGTAACAACAGTGAAATTGGTCACTGCACACAGAGAATGAATTTCACTGCGGGGTTCACTCACAAATGATGTTCCACTTAAAATTTTCATAGCCTTCTGGACAGAGGTATGTGTCATGCACTGAGCAAAAAGCACATTGGAGATGTGTGGGGAGTCCTCAGCTGCTCACAAAGACCCCAGTGATTTGGTTGCCCCAGGACTGCTGGGGTGATGCAAGTCTCCTGTCACCAGGCCTGCAAGCCATTAGCATCTGGGTAAAGCCACGGTATGTGAGCTAATGGTCCCAAACCATTACCTACCGAGTTGAAAACCTTATCACAAAAGCACTATGGTTGTGATTTGCATCTCTCCAATGTGTGGGTTCAGTAACTTTTCCATCTGTCATTACCAGTAATCTCTCTTCGTAATCTCCCTAGTACCTCTGTGTCACCAATATCCCCACTATAGGTGTTGTGTTTTCTAATGGTCCACTTAGCACATTCACAAGTCTTCCATACTCACACTATTGTTTGATTATGTCTTTTAGGGTTAAAATCTGATCAGTGTATGTACACCCTCTTCTGAAGTTAAACTGACTTTCCTTAAGCCTACTATTCAACTGTGCCTGCTTTCTTGTTCACAGGCACTCAAGCAAATATATTCTCAAACACAGCAAACAAGCTAATGCCTCTTGAGTTTTATATTCCTTCCTGCCACCTCCTTTTCTTTTTCTTCAGCTTGCTGTAATCACATCTGAATACCAGGGACAAGTCCTTCCGCAGCTTTCAGAAGTGCTGGGAATATCTGACACTGTCCCATGGGTGACACCTTTGTTGTCAGTGCAGTCAGGAGGATGCAATGCTTCAGAACGGCTGTCCATGTGTCACACTGAGGATCCAAGGAGCAATGACATCTGTGGGGCCACTGTGCTCTCCTCAATGGCCTTCAGTCTTGATCTTTGGGGCTGTGCTTGGCACCCATGCTGATCGATCTTTTAAATGTCCCAACACAGATTACCAATGCTCTACTGAAGAGTTTTCCACTGTCCCTTCTAGCTTCTCACCTGAAGTCCTTAGTTTTCTTTTCTCCCTCTTCAATATGATAAACTTTTGAGAGATGAGCCATTCTGAGACATTCCTGACTTTGTTCGCGTGGAGGTGTGGGGCCATGTGAGGTTGTGACCTATTTCATCTGTCACTCACCTTGCAAAGCACAGCTTCAGAGATATGCCTCTGAAAGGATCTATTTAGAAATACTGATGAATTAAAAGTGCACCTAGAACTTGATATTAGGTCCTGATTTAACACATACCCAACCTTTATTCAGGATAATCATAACACAGATCTGTCTTTTCACACTAAACTCTTCATGTTAAGGGGATTTTGTCCTTTATCAGAGCTTATCTGATGAAACACTGATAAAAGTGTACCATGATACATGCAGGGTAAATACTGCATTTAAAAGGAGATGAGCATTCAGACTTACCTGTTGTGATCAAATCGAAATAGTAAGCCTTAGTTTCCTCCTTTGGGCATCTTAGCAATAGCTTGCCGAGAACTCTCTCCATTGCTGACAAAAGGCTCTCAAAACTTGAAGATGTAGTGGTAAATCTCCAGACAGAGGCTGAAATTAAGTTAGGTCTTGTTGAACCAAACGTCCAGTCACTTCTTGCCAAATACGCCAGTGTTACTGGTACTACAAGAAAAATAAAAAAAAATATTTGTTTTCCTTGTTATCATAATTCTCTTACATTTCTGTATTGTTCAAGTGCTGTAAACATCATTATGTGAGGCATCACACAAATGTGCAGCGTAAGACGCTGAGCAGCTCATTAGCTTGGTTATTGCTCATGTAAAATAGCCATATTGCACATTTGTAACATAAAGTAGTAGTACTTGTGATAAAAGCAAAATGCATTATAAATCCCAAATCCAAAATTTATTTACGCCAATCAAAAACCAGTCACAATAGTATTTGTGCCTTGGCATTTTAGTGATCAAATCTGTATTTTGTAAAAAAACAAAAACAAAACAAAAAACCCCCACAAAACATTTCACTAATGAGGGATTGATATCACGATTGGTAAAAATATCTCAGGATCATGAGGAAAATCTGTGACGTTTTATTTCTGCTAGAAATCGATGTAACGATTAGGGCGTCCAGCTCAGGTTGCAGGGAGACATCTTTCTTCCATTGCATTTTTCTCCATTCCTTCTGTGCCAACTCTTATAAAACAAGATACCACAGGATTTAATTCTAAAAATCTAATATTACTGCCTTGTGGTGAACTGAATACTACAGATTCCTTCTTGATAATACTGTCTCATAGGATTCCTCTGTGGTAACAGAATCTCCTGGGATTCCTGCCTGGTAACCATATCTCACTGGACTTTGGTAGTATTTCTCCCATTGGATAACACCAGCCCCACCAAATAAGCAGTCATAAACCTCGCACTCTCATTATTTTACATGACATTATTTTACTAATGTCAGATCCTGCACTGTTTAAATCAGTGGGGTATTTTTTCCCCTCACTGATTTTCACCAAGTTAGAATCTGGGCTCCAAGAGAAAAGAATATTATGGAACATTTTGTTTGCTTTACAGGAACAACATGAATAAATACTTTTAAAGTAGCAATAATGCCACCTTCGTTATTGAAGGGTACAGTATCTGCTGCAACGGGGTCCTGATATTTCAGTGAGCCTTTTAGTTATAATTGAAACAAGCAGAACAATAGGTGATTTATGGCTGTTGGTTTATCTCTTCTTTGAAAAGAGATATTTTGAAAATATTTAGCTGTGATTTCTCTCACTGGCATGAAGAAGAAGAACCGTTACAACATCTCACTTTCAGAACAACAAAAAGCTTTCTAGTCCATAATATTTCCTGGCTGGTTTAACTACATACTGTCATTCAACTCCTGCAGGACTTACACTTAGTCTTTAACCATACATGGACTAGAAAGCTTTTTTTTTTTTTTTTCAGAAGAAGAAGTCTGCCCTGAGAGATTTCTAGGCTCAAAAATTTTGGCTTGAGCTTTCCTTTGTCTTATCTAGTGTTTCTAACAGCCCACTTTGGAGAAGATGGTGGGATCTTTATGGTTGGGGGATCACCGCTGAGCTGAGAGCCAGCTTTGCGATTTCATAGTGTCATCATATTGCCATCATACACCTCGTGGAGAACCCAGCCCTACCAATGTAGGTCAAATAAAATGGTGATGGGTTCTGCAGAGAATTATTTAGTAAGCTTTGTGTCACTAAGCTCTAGATGTACCAGCAGACATCAGGGTGGGTCTTGACCACCATCTTCCGGGCACAGGGTGGCTTTAGCAGAGCTCTGACTTAGTAAAAGAAGGCAAGTTGGCAACGCAGACACTACTAGGGCTTGAACTACAACGAGAGCACCTGAAAAACAGAAATGTAAGAAGTGAAAGAAGGTAAGCAGGCAACACCTTCTACTAAAGCACTGTATCTCCTACCATGTGTTCAAACCAAAAAAAAAAAAAAAAAGACATATGCCATTTTTCCTTCTCACAGCTGTCTTTCCTTCCAAATATAACACTCACAACTCCAAATCTTAGGGCTGTTCTGAACCCTTTTTTGAATCCAGACCCTGCTTCAACACCAACCTTCTGTTGATCTTGATCAAGTCATTAAACCTCATAGCTCTTGGAAGTGTAAATATCTGTGATAACAATCCTACATCGTGTTATTTTTGAGGGGATCAATAAAGTTTCTGAAGGTAAAAATATATGACTGATGCACTTGATACCAGACCTGCCAAGACACTTTTATTCCTAAACTCTTGAATTTCCATGGTGTTTAGCTGCCTGAAGAACCATTGAAATTAGCGGGCTGATAAGCAAGTGAAAGGCATTCAGGACCTTCAGTGGCTTGGGCCCTGGTTGGCACTTTGGTACTTTCTGCGATGACTAGAAGGGCTGTATGTTCCGGCTATTACTATAGGGGAGTGGTAAACAGGAATGGTGTCGGATTAGGGTTTGCATCTCTGCTCTGTTGCCTTTTAGGGTACAACTTGCTGCTTGGACAACGAATTGAGAAAACTGTGTTGGAGACTTGGGGAAATATCTGCAGGCAGCCTGGACAACGAAAACGGGAAAAACAAAACACTTCTTACCAGGGGGCTTTTGACAGCCTCTTAAGGGGGCATTCATGACTTTCTTGTGAGTCACCACCCCAAAAATACTGTAAGTGCTATTCGTTCAGCGGGGCTAGCAGTGCAAGCTGGAAACAATCTAGGGAACTCTCATCTTCAGGTCAGTGGGGGCTGGCAACAGGGTCGCTCTCTCCCTGGGAACGAGGGGCGAGACGAAAAAGAGCACGGCTTCGAAATTGCTCTCATGCATGCTGTGGTTGGGTACTGGCACTGCAGAAAGGGAAGGGTTTATTTGCTGCCCAGAAGCAGAGCTCTGGATCCCCTTTGTAACTCTTGTGAGAACTAGGAGGAGTGTGTGCGCTTGAGGGATAGTTATGGTTAGGAAAGGTTTATGTAAAACTGGGGGGAAAAAAATAAAGAAAAAAGAAAAAGGTGCAGAGCTTGGGGGAGACACACAAAAATTCCTGCCATCCCACACCACTTAGTCTTCTGTTTGGCAGGGTCAGAGAGCAACTTTGGTGTGTATCCCATCTATAGCCCACAGGACCATCTTAGGGCCTGAAGCCCTCCTGCTATAAAAATAGGGGAGAATCCATAAAAGCGGTAGCATCTCAAATATAGCACAAATCTTTTCTTACAAGATAGGCAAGAAGCTAAATGCCTTAATTAGAAGTTCACCGAGTTATTTTCTGTATGTTGCAGCTAACGACACAGAACATGGGCTCCTGATCGAATACCAAGGCAGTAAATCAATGGAGGGTCTTTGCTACCGTTCATGAAATGCTCCAGCTGTGCTCCTAAGGATTAGAATGTCAACAGAACTCTTGATTTGAATCACAGCCTTGCCTTCACTCAGGGGCCATATATTAGTCTTGAAAAGCAGACAGAGTTTCATCGCTCAAAGAAGGGAAGAAAAAAAAAAAAAAAAGAATCACTGAGCTGAAAATAAAATGATGATGTAGGGAGGAAGGCTGCAACACAGCCAAAGGAGACGGGTGGCAAATTTCAGCAAAAAAACCCCTAGAAATTTGAAAGTTGAGGTATTTCTCCATGTTTGTTCAGTAAAATTTCACAAGTCAAATTTTATTTTTCCTAATGTGTTTAGACAGTGCTTAGTCACCTGATTAAGTGCTCAGCTGGTGTGACTCCTCACAGCTTCACCAAAGCCAGCACAGCAATGCCAACCAACTTCAGCCAAGAGCCTGGTCCTTACTCAGAGTATGATATATATCAGGAACCCTAGGAAGCAAGGCATAGATCATTTTAGACACAGGTAAATTTGTCTGGAGGACAAACACGTTTCTGAATATCAGTTGTGGTTATGCTTCTGCTTTGGAGCATGAACAAATCAGTGAAGACTAGACTGTATTCCATTGAGCTGGATTCCTGAAAGCTGTGTAAAAGGTGTAGTTTCGCCTTAGCAAAACACTTGAAGTTTCTCAGGAATCTTCTGACATTTAGCAGGTGTTCTCTTGCAGTGATTGTAATAAATCTTAGCAACCCACATGCAACCAGGCAAAAAAAAGCCGAAGACTCTCCTAATGATGACCTTGAAGTTGTTGACGAGGTCACAGTGGTAGTGTCATACTGACGTTTGCACATGTTCTTACTTTTTTATTCCTATAGGAATCAGCTGCTGCCAAAGTACACATGATACAAACTAGAATCTTGATTATCCAAAGCTCAGTCATAGTCTCTGTTTCCTATAATACAGTTCTATCCCTGGTATTTATTGCTTACATTGAAAAGTATCTCAGTTATTCAAAACCTTGGTTACTCAAATTCAGTAACTGGACCCATTAATTTACAATTAATTCAGCTAACCCAAAACTATTTCCCCTCTCATAACTGTACTGAAGCTATGCAAAAGTTTGCCAAAACTATTAAAAAAAGAAACACCTAGCTTTACTCTGAATACTTTTTTTAAAACCAAAAAGGAGGAAGAAATCTCACAGAGCCCTAATATTCCTAGAACTTTGGGCAGCCTTATCTTTTTGCAGGAGCAAAAAACCTGGCCGTCCTTCCTCTGAAACGTAGAATTAATTGAAAATGCTGCTTTTTACTAGCGCCAAGGTTGAACAGTTGCCCAAATACAATGGGGTGGGAGAGTTGAGCCGAGTTCCTGAAACGTAATACTAATTCCTACTGCACTAGCTCTTGCAAAGTCACGATACCCACTGAGGATGGTAGCAGCCTGTTTCCTGGCTTGGCATTTTGTTTATTTTGCTTCCCCACCATCACACATGAAGCCTGTGCAGAGCTGCACCACCTCATGCTCCCTCTATCATCTGCAGGACTCACGCCTACAGCTGCCATGATGGGAGAGTGGTCAGTATTAGACTCTCCAACAGCCCTCACACAGGTGAGTCTCCTCATTTCCTTGCATAACATGAACTTCTCTTCTCATGAGGTCTCCAAGTACAAATACACATGTGCCACCACAGTTGAA